AAAACATATATAAAACAAGTATGAAAGATGTTAACATTTGTTACAATCTGTTGCAACAGGTTTGTACTTATTTACCAAGGACAAAATATTTTATAATTTACATATTTATATATTAACTATGTTAATTTTTTACAGCCATTGACATAGATTCCTTGGCGTCTCTCCTAGATTAAAATTCCTGTTTCAATAAAGCAGGATTTGGTTATAATCTAGTAACTCTCCTTTATTATACTGTAAAATGTAAATACACAAGCTAAATAAGAGAGCCATATTTATTAAAATGATATGTTTAAAACTAATTTGGTAAGAAAAAGAATGAGCTGTTAGTCAAGGTAGACGGTGAAAGCAATGGTGGAAACATATTTCTGTATATCCTGCTTTCATCTGCCGCCTTCAAAAAATGAACACTGTATGCCTTAGTACTTACACAATTCAAGAACACTATCTTGGTACTTAATTTCACTATCTGGTGACTTAATTTCAATTGAAGGGCTATTCAACTCCCTATAATTCTCTCCATTAACTTACTCAAATAATATTTTTTTGGAAATAATGTTTACCTGCCAAATCATTCTGCTAGAGGAGCAAACACAGCAAGACAAGAAACCATATACTATAATTAAGGGCTTCAAAGGTTAAGAATGAAGATAAAATTATAAACCTATTTTTAGAATGCAATACATTAAATGTTAATTAAAACTACACTGTTTTAAGTGACAGGGATGAAAGAACACCTGGTAATACAGTAGTGTCTACAACAGAAAGCAAGCAAAAAGCAGGAGTTATTTTAGGGATTCTAGGACAAAAGAGCTTCAGAACACATTACTGATCACCTAATATGTGCCAGATAAATGTGGTTTCAACATTACTGAATATGGATTGCTAATAAGAGGTCAGGAGGGAGTGTTCAGCAGGTAACTAACTGTAAATGCTGTATGAGAAACTTGATACCAGGGAAGAAGTCTGGAGAAAACAGGTAATTGGTTTCACGTTAAATTCTGTATTAGGTTGGAAAATGACTAAAGCAGACAAAGCACAAAGAGTTTCTGAAATGCAGTATACTTTCATGTGACACATTAATTTAACATGCTGTGGAACAGTTTCACATGTTAAGAAATACCAGGTTTAGAAGTGGGATGAATAGAAATAAAAAAGTACTAGTTTCACTACTCTTTAAAGAGAAGACAGATAAGGCTTTTGTAAAATGAGCATACCTATGAATATTTATAGAAAGGGACAGGCAGAGAGTAAGGAAAAGGGTAAGGAGAGAAAATGGACTTTGAGAGCAGCAGTTCTTCCATAGGCAAAAGACACTCTAGCAGTAAACCAAAGAAAAAGTATAAGATGAATAAGATCAAACATTTGTATCACAGGGTCATTTATCTTTCTCAATTAAGTAACAAAGTAATATGCTGGGATTGAAAAGTTTAAGAATCCAAAAATATTTGCAACTGCCAGTATGCACAAATGCAACGCTTCAAAAGGTATCAATTAGTGACAATACAAAAGTAAAGAGTCAGAGTTGTTTATATGCATATGTACATACACATGCACTGTCTGCTTTTAAAAAAAGTTAAGTGGCATCTATCTGAAAAACACACATAAAGTAAACTAACAGTTCATTTATCTAGGAATTCGCTAGCAGAGGTTGGGCGCAGTCGCTCACTAACCCTAGCACTTTGGGACACAGAAGTCGGTGAATCATCTGAGGTCAGGTGAAACCTCATCTCTATTAAAACTAAAAAAAATGACCTGGATATGGTGGCACATGCCTGTAATACCAGCTACTTGAGAGGCTAAGGCAGGAGAATCGCTTGAAACCAGGAGGCAGAGGTCGCAGTGAGCCAAGATTGCACCACATTGCACCACCGAACTCTAACCTTGGAGACAGAATGAGACTCTGTCTCAAAAGAAAAAAAAAAAGAATGGGCTAGCAGATCATCAAGGTCTATCCCATGAAGAAAAAAATGTTTTATACTTAACAAATGCCTTATAAATCCTTTAAAACTATGTACTTGCCTGTATTCTTTTGGGGAGGGAAGGGAGGTGGCAGGGGGAGGGGGAGGGGGCAGTGGGGGGGGGAATGGGAGAAGGAGGGGAGGGGGAGTGAGGAGAGAGAGGGCGGCGAGGGAGGAGAGGGGGAGGAGGAGGGGAGGGGAAAGAGGGGATGGAAAGAAGAGAAGAAAAACTGAGAACCTGCCTTTTATATCGTAAAAGTCTGGGAAACAAGCGCTCTACCTGTTCTCTGCAACTACTGCATCTAGGAAGACCCCACATATAAAGTTAAATGTGAATTTTAAAGCTTGCTTTACCTTAAGACTAATAAGTTATTTTCATCAGAGGATTGTCTTCACCAAGGACAAAGTCTGCATAAAGCCATCTGAAGGCTACTGCATTTCTGAAACTGCTTTTCTAAACATACCTCCCAAACTGATTTCCCATATTCTTGTAATTTTCAACCATAAGTAAATAAAATTTTGCTTACACTTTTAAACGTAATATTTAGGAATAAAAGATTATTTGGTAAACTTTCGATGCACACACGAAGGAGCAGTCTGGTTGAGACTAATCATTCCAAAAACAGCTACAATTTTCCTTTTTTTTTTTTTT